AAGTTTTGCTGAATAAAATAGGTTCCAATGCCCATTTCTACACGGAATGCAAAAAGTCGACAGAAAACCCGACCAAATGCATTAACTGCAAAATCCGGCAAACTATTTCAGTTTGATATTTTTTCATTTTTTAATTGCTTATAAGCCTAACGCTTGACTGTAATGTACTGGCAAACTGAAAGTCTTTTGTGCAAAAAAGTTAAAAGATGGATTTTTAAGAAAAGTCGTCGTCTTTTCGAAAAAAGACCAGACTGTGGTCTTTTTTCGAATACCCGTATTACCTTTGAGGTTGGGACAAAATCGAAACAAAGTCATCGTGTTTTTTTCGGCAAAATTTAGGTTTCCTTAAAAAACGAACAGAGAAAGCAAAACTATAATCAGTATTTCTCGTATTTTTATAGTAAACTATAAACTCGTCACCCTCATCGCTCTGAAAGTCTCTTCAAAATTTGCGAATTTTCCAGTTTTTGCCCGAAAAGCAATCAAACCTAAATTTTTTGTTAGACGTTAAAATTCCGTGATCGGCCATGAGTTATAATCCCTTAACCAATGAGCTAAAAGTAATTAACTCAGAGAGCGGCAACAACTCACAAGCGCAACTCAGCACAGTGTTACTCAGGCCTAAATCCCACCCGGTTGGCATAGAAGATCGGCTGCATCAGCTAGTGAAGCCGAGCGCTTTTTCTATTGTTTGCAGCGTGGCCTCGTCGTTCTTCTGCGTGTGCATTCAGCGAAAAAAAATCAATTAAACACCGACCAGTTTAAAACACTTACGGATCCGTTCCGCTCGTCGTGATTTTATGGCCCTTTTTAGGCGAACTCACGCGGAGCCCATTAGTCTCGTGCTCTTATTGATATTGGCCCAATTAATATAAATAAACGGTTTATCAAATCGCGTGACTCGATTCCTTCTGGCAGCTCCGCTCGATCCGAAGAAGTGGATGCTGCTGCTGCTGCTGCTGCGGCTGCTGCGGCTGGATACGCTCCGGGTGGCTGGATGCTCGGCTCATTCATCAATTAGACGCAACCGGTTGTTCGGTTATGATAAGGACGTTTCTATTTATCCGGCCGGTTCAGGGGTCACTGCAGTGACGTCAATGATCTGTCTCCAATTGATGTCGAATAATTGATATTGGCTGGATTGTTGATCAAATCAGTGCCGTGCGGTTCGGGTTTGACGTGCACCTCGCTCGGGACAACACAGAGTTGATGCTTCAAGTGTTGTTCAAAAACAGCACTCTTGTTGGGGCTTGGTTAGGCTCATCCAGTGTGCTGCACAACTTTGGCATTAAACTAGCTTATTTTCAGCACCAGCAGACGCAAATTGCCACTTTGGCTGCGCCACTGGACGACAAGGCGATCGAACAATCCGATCAAGTGGGTGGAATTGTCCGTTTGTTAATAATGGCCAGATCGGGTCAATTATTGTCAGGGTTGGCTTGATTTTTTTCAAGTGATTTAAATCATGTTTTTGGAAAAAAATCACGATTTGAATCAAAGTTCATTTTTTCAAGAAACT